AAAAAAAAAAAAAAAAAAGCCCTACGTGGACCCTCTATCAGGAGCTCTAGTGGTACAGTAGTTAAGACATTCAGCTGCTAACCAAAAGTTCTCTGATTCAAACCCACCTTTCACTCCATGGGAGAAAGATAAGACAGTCTACTTCCACAAAGAAAACCCTACGGGGGCAGTGCTACTCTGTCCTGGTGTCACTATCAGTCAGAAATTACTTGATGGCAGTAGGTTTTTTGTTTGTTTGTTTTTAATAACATCCTCTACAACCTCTGGTGGCACTGTGGTTGAAGCATTTCAGCTGCTAACCAAAAGTTTGGCAGTTCAAACCTACCAGCTGCTCTGCAGGAAAAAGATGAGGAGTCTTCTTACATAAAGATTTGCAGCCTTGGAAACCCTATGGGGCAGTTCTAATCTATCCTGTAGGGTTGCTGTGAGTCAGAATTGACTCAATAGCAGTGGGTTTGGTTTTGATTTATATCCTCCTCTAGCTCTCTGTTTTATTTTATTTTTCAAAATAACTCCTTAAAAGGGTTGATTCTTTAGTCTGTACTTCCTCTCCTTCCATTCTCTGTTGTACTCACTCCAGCCAAGCTTGTGCACTTCACTACAAAGAATCAGCTTTTGCCAGGATTTCTGATGAGCTCTACAATGCCAAATCCAATGAACAGTTCACATTCTTCATCTTACTTAACCTGTTAGTAGCATTTGGCCATTGTTATCAACTTCCTTCTTGGTACACCTTCTTCACTGAGCTTCCAAGATCCCACTTTCTTCTTCTTTTTTTTTTTTTTTTTCCTTCTACCCACTGGTGTCTCCTTTCCCTACTCCTTTCCCTACTCCTTTGTTCATTCTTCTTTGTCACTTACTCTATAAGTGATTTTATCTAATCTCAAGGCTTTAAATACTAACATCTATATGTCAATTTTATATTTCTGGATTAGGACTGTTCTCCTTGTTATCAGAATCAAATGTCTAACTAGATACTTGACATCCCCACATAGATATGTAATAAGCCCCTCAAGTGTTAAGGTCTAAAACAGAGCTCCTAAATAGTTCATACAAACCTTTTACTCTCAGTCTTTTTAAAAAAAAAAAAAGTCAAAAGTCAACTTCATACCTCTAGTTATTCAAGCCAAAAACCTATCTTGACTTGCCTGCCTGCCTTTCTTCCTTCCCTCTCTCTCCCTCCCTTCCTTCCTTCCTCCTTCTCTTATACCAAAATCAGCAAATTGTGTCTACTCTACTTTCAGAGAGTATCTAGAATATGATCGCTTCTCATCACCTCCTCTACCACAACCTTAATGCAAGCCACCATCAACCCTTGCCTGGGTTACTGCAGTAACCTCACTGGTCTCCCTTCTTTCCTCCCTTATGCTCTACAGTACATTCTCCATGAATGATTCTTTTAAATGTAAATCAGATTATGCTATTTCTTGACTTAAACTAATCCAATGGCTTCGTTGCTTACTCAAGAGTAAAATCTACTTTTGTAAAGATTTACAGCCTTGGAAATCCAATGGGGGTCTCTATGAGTTGGAACCGACTCATTGGCCGTGAGTTTGGTTTTATATCCTGTAGACACTGTGACAAGTGTTAGATTACAGTGATGAATGAGATCTAATGGTCCTTGCCCACGTAGTTATTTTATTTCATTCATACACCATTTTCTAGCCCTTGATGTCATCCTAAGCATTAACTGACTCTAGATTCTAGAACTATTTAAATTTAACTTGGAATAAACTAAAACTAAATTAGATGTCAAAGTTCAGTTTCTCAGTCATACTAGCCACATTTCAAATCCTTCTTAGCCACATGTTGCTATTTAGGAGGGGAGTCCTTGAGTAAGGAGATGATTAATGTGCTCAGCTGCTAACTGAAAGGTTGGTGGTTCTAGGCCACATAGAGGCACCTCAGGAAAAAGGCGTGAAGATCAACTTCTGAAAAATCAACCATTGCAAACACTATGGAGCACAGTTCCACTGTAACACTATGAGTCGGAATTGATTCAGAGGCAATTGCTTTGATTTTGGTTGGTATTTAGGAGTGGTGAGGCAAGCTTGATTTATCAGAGATTTGCCTGCCTTCTCCTCACTCTGCTTTTTCAGGAGTCTGCGCTTGTCTAAGAATCCAGAGAAAGTGGATCAGGTCAGGCAGTTCCAAAGCCATGGCCCAGGTAAGTTGAAATTTCCTCTGTTCTTGAAATAATCTTACTCCTCTCCAAATAATGTGAACATTTGTGTTCTTTATCCTGAAATGTCTTGCTGAGCCTCGTCTAGTAACCTGCTTCCAATTCCTTCATTCCAGAGAGTCAGCAATGGTGCACAACAGCCCAGTCTCTTCCTTTAGACCCTTTCTTCTTAAACAGTGTCCACATTTGTTCATAGTCCTCTTCCCAGAGCACCATGGAACAGAAATACATTTCCTTGAGAAAAATATGAAAGCCTTCTTTATCAGAACCATGGTTGAGTGGGGTTAAAGATGGGATAACGTTCATTTTTTTCTGTTTACCAAAGTGATTTTCTTCCTTCTATTTTTAAATACTACCTCCTCTTTAAAAATTATAAAATTTTATAAAGGAATATATACAAAAACATACTTACAATATATACATACAGTTGACCCTTGAATAACACAGGTTTGAACTGCACGCGCCCACTTATACTGGATTTTTTTCAAGATATGGATCTTGCAGAAATTCAAGAGCTAATAGATGTAACACCAGAGGAATTAACAGAAGATGCCTTTTGGGAGACGAGTGCTTCCAAACCAGTGCCAGACAATGAGGAAGACAATATAGAAGCAGCAATGCCAGAAAACAAACTGATGTTATGTGATCTGGCAGAATGGCTCCAATGATTCAAGCCTGCTTTTAACTTCTTTTATGGCATGGACCCTTCTATGATATGAGCACTGAAACTAAAGCAAACAATAGAAGAAGGATTGGTACCATATTGCTAAAAGGGCATGAGGTTGGCATCTTCTGACCTACTCCAACCTCATGAGCGGGAGACAGAATCACCATCAACAGCCCAAGGCTTATTCTTATGAGGTGAGACATGCTGCCACCTTTCAGCATTTTTACCAATTCTGACACCAACTGTCCTTCCCCCCAGCAATCACTACTTCTCTACTGGGTTCGATAAATGGTTGCAGTGGACACACAGAACTCAGAGACAATACTCACAATCATGGGGTTTATTAGGGAAATAACAGGCTACAATTCAGTTTCAGGAGCGCAATCAGGATACAATTCTTCATTCAGGATACAGTTCTTAGATCAGGACAGGCTCCCCTCTTCTGTGCCTTCAGGCATGCCTTTCTGGCCCTGAGCCTCTCAGCCTGACCTCCGCCCTGCCATGGCAAGTATTACAAAGCTCTTTTAGCTTTGCTGATAGGTACACCTACATGTACCCCACTCTGCCAGCAAGCTTCCTGCCCACAGACACACAGCTTTCTCACTCCTTGGGCCAAAAAACCCACCGCTCTGTCTCCTGCCTCTTGACTCCACTGCTGCTGTCTCTCACCCAGGCATCTGCCTCTCAGCTGGATTTCTCTCAACCAGGCATCTCTCTCTCAGTCGGGCATCTCTCTCTTAGCCAGGCATCTCTCAGCCAAAGAGGTCCAGCGCAGGGATCTCAGGTCCAAGGATACGCTCCACTTCACCTCCAGCTCTTCTGTCTTGATGGCAGTAGGATCCCTGCTTCTGCTTCTAGGAATGCTCATTTTATGGCTGGTAGAATGACAAAACTGAACAATCCCAATATTAGAGTTGTATACACACTCTTTGCATGGTCCCACCTAGAAATTAGGTGGGAGTTACAAAGAACATGGCTAGAAAAGCCATACCAAGTACTTCACTGCACCAAATGTATAGAAACATATTTAGAAAAATGCAAAAGCAAAAAATCAGACAGAAATTGCAGAGTATTTCCATAAAGTTACATCATGTGTCCCTGCTTCCCCTTCCACCTTTGCCACCCCTGAGACAGCACGATCAACCCCTCCTCTTCCTCATCCTCCTTAGCCTACTCAGTCATGAAGATGATGAGGATGAAGATCTTTATGAGATCCACATCCCCTTAATATGTGGTAAATACTCATCATGCCATGCAATTAATAAACTTATCTGTTATGTATGTGTGTGAATGTCTTCATGTGAAAATCTAATAACTGTCTGGCAAAATTGTGTTAATTGACTGTTTATGTTATTGGTAAGGCTTCCAGTCAACAGTAGGCTGTTAGTTAAATTTTGGGGGAGTCAAAAGGTATAGGCAGATTTTCAACTGCACAGAGAGTTGGTGCCTCTAAAGCCCCGTATTGTTCAATGGTCATCTGTATATATAAATGAGCACTGGTTCTGGTGACGTAGTGCCTAAGGCATTTGGCTGCTAACCAGAAGGCTGGTGGTTCAAACCCACTAGCCACTCCTCGGTAGGAAGACTGGGCAATCTATTTCCATAGAGATAGCGCCTTAGAAACCCAAGGAGGGGTTGCTATGAGTCAGAATCGACTTGAAGACAGTGAGTTTGGTTTTTTGGAATTTGGTGTCTCCATGACCAGATTAATATGTCATCTAACCAACCTTCATTTCCTTTCTTGATCATATCCCTTTCTTCCCCACCATTAGTTATTACTACTGTCAATTTTGTGTTTATCATTCCTTTGATTTTTGTAATAGTTTCATCATGTATGAATATGTCCTAAACAATATACTGTTGAGTGTTTTGTTTCTAAATTTGATGTGAAGTTGTCATACTCTGTATTTTTGTAACTAGACTTTTTTCACACAACAATATGTTTTCAAATCACTCATGTTGAATTGTGTAGCATTATGTCAGGAGTTCTCAAAGTATGGTCCAGGAAGATCTTGATACTCTTTCATGAGGTTTGTGGTGCCAAAATTATTTTTATAATAGTAATAAAAACCTACTGCCACGAGTTGACTCTGACTCATAGCAGCTCTTTAGGGAAGAGGAGAACTTCCCCATAGGGCTTCCAAGGCTTTAAATCTTTATAGAAGCAGACTGCCTCATCTTTCTCCCATGGAATGGCTTGTGGGTTCAAACCACCAACCTTTTGGTTAGCACCCAAATGCCTTAACCACTGCTTCACTAGAGCTCTTTCTTATAATAATGCCAACATGTTATTTGCCTTTTTCACTAATGAGTGAATGGTGGTATTTCCCAGAGAAATACTTGATGTGTGTTATCCCAACAGATTGAATGTAGAAGCAGATATGAAAAACCAACTGTCTTCTATTGGAAAACAATGCTACTAACTTTTTTGTTATTGTTTTTGAAAATAGTTGTTTTTTCATAAAAAAGTATATTACGTATGTTACCATGTAATGGATTTGTTATTGGTGTTTTAAAATGATTCAATAAATATTTTTAAAACTTCTCAGTTTTAATTTCAATATGCTAAATATTGATAGATATAACCAGCATAACAAAATTCTTTGGAATCTTTAGTAAGTTTTGATAGCTGTGCTTATTTGTAAGGAGCTCTGGTGGGGTAGTGGTTAAGGCATCTGGCAGCTAATTTAAAGATTGGTGGTTTGAACCCACCAGCCACCATAAAGGAAAGATGAGGCAGTCTACTTTGTACAGATGTATAGCCTTGAAAATCCAGTGGGGGCTGCTATGAGTCAGAATTGACTCGATGGCAGTGAGCTTTTGGTTTTGGTACTAATTTGTACATATAGTTCTATATACAGTAAAATTTGCTCAAGTAAAATGTAAATTTTAATGATTTTAGTGTATTCACAAGAGTTGTACAACCACAGTCAATTTTAAAACTTTTTCATTATCCCAGAAAGAAACCCTGTACTCATTTGCAATTACTCCCAATGCCCCCTGCCCAGACCTAAGGAACCACTAATAGACTCTCTGTTCTGGATATTCCATGTAAGTGAAACTGTGCAATACATAGTCTTTTATCAATAAGGCTAATGTTTTCAAGATTCATCCATGTTGTAGCATATATCACTTACTCTTTTCTTTCTATATATAAATAATATTCCATTTTATGAATGTATCACATTTTGTTAATTCATTCATAAGTTGATGGACATTTGGGTTGTCTCCACTTTTTCACTATCATGAATAATGCTGCTATGAACATTTGTGTACAAGTTTTTGGGAGCACATGTTTTCATTTCTCTTGGGTTTATACCTAAGAGTGGAATTGCTGGGTCATATGTTTATGTGGTAACTCTAACCTTTTGAGGAACTATTTCAAAAAGTGACTGTACCATTTTACATTCCCACCAGCAATATAAGAGGGTTCCAGTTTCTCTACATCCTCACCAATATGTGTTATTATCTTTTTTTTCCCCTAATTTCCTCATTTTTTTTGAAGTAAAGAATAATTTTTTTATTGTTATATATCTGTTGTAAAACAGATATATACCACATTTGCCAATTCAACATTTTTTGCATGTGCAATTTAGTGACACCAATTGCATTAATCATGTTGTACAATCATCACCAGTATCCTTTATCTTTTTAATTATAGCCATCCTAATGCAGTGGGAGCTCTGGTGGCATAGTACCTAAGGCATTTGACTGCTAACCAGAAGTCTGGCAGTTCAAACCCACCGCCACTCCTCAGAAGGAAGATTGGGCAATCTACTTCCATAGAGATACCTCCTTGGAAACCATTGCTATGAGTCGAATCAACTTGACAGCAGTGAGTTTGGTTTTCTTTCTTGGTTAGTGCATGTGAAGTGGTGTTTCATTGTGGTTGATTGGTTGTTTTTTTGTTTTTTTTTTTTTTTTTAATTGTGATTTGGGTGAGGATATACAGAGCAAATTCACTTTCCATACAGCAGTTCACATATACTTTGTCTCATGTCATTGACCACAGTTTATCACAATGCAAAATCTCCCCTCCCACTTCCTCCCCATAGTTACCTCTTCCCAGTGTCTATCCCTCCATACACTCCTGCCCCCT